TGGAACGGCCATCTCAGTCCCCAGACCTGAATATTATTGAAAATCTGTGGTGTGAGAGCTGTCCATGCTCAGAAGCCATCAAACCTGAATTAACTAGAGATGTTTTGTAAAGAGGAATGGTCCAAATTACCTTCAACCACAATCCAGACTCATTGGAACGTACAGGAAGCATTTAGAGGCTGTAATTTCTGCAAAAGGCGGATCTACTAAATATCGATTTCATTTCTTTGTTTTTGTGGTGCCCAAATTTATGCACCTGCCTGATTTTGTTCGAACAATTATTGCACACTTTCTGTAAATCCAATAAACTTCATTTCACTTCTCAAATATCACTGTGTGTGTCTCCTATATGATATATTTAACTGACATTTTTTAGTGTAACAACCAACGATTTATACAGGAAAATAATGACTATTATCAAGGTTGCCCAAACCTTTGCATCCCACTGTAGTTTGGATTAAAAGGCTTTGTATCTTTTCTGTGTATATTTTAGTTACAACGGTCTTTTGTCCAATCCCGGGCTTTTGCTGAACAAAGCAGACTCCCACTATCTCTTCCCAGGCCAGCACCTGGCGCTGGCCCTGAACTTTATCCTTCTGAGCAAAACAGTTAGCAGATAACATAGTGAAGCATTGTTAGGCCTAGCTAAGCAGTTTTCACAAGGTCTTGCTGATACATACTTCATCTTGAGCATGCAAAGGTTATACAAAAATCATACAGTGAAATTCTTACCACCTAAATCTAAATGTGAGGATTCACTAGAATTTTCCCATTACAGATGACATCGATTTTTCACGTTTCAAGTTGTAAATGGAGAGCTGGTTCAAACCTAAGGATTGTTGTCCTCTGCTGTTGCTTTGTAGTCCTACAGTTGTGGTGAGTTTGGTTTTCATGCTTTGCTGCCTCAGTTACTATATAGAAACATGTAAAAAAAATCTATGATACAGTGAAGACAGTAAATATGAAAATTCGTGGATATGTTATATATAGTTTTGATTAAAAGGCTTCATATAATGGTGGATTAACCATTACAGAAACAAAACATGATTTAGGTCATTACCAGAACTGTTCATTTATAAACCTCATATATCATATTTATAGCAGGCCTTTAGTGACCTTTGTACTAAAGAAACTTAATACACACGAAAGCACAAACTTGTATCAGGTAAATTTATTATGGAGTCGGTTCAAGGTCTAAAGAAATTATTATAGCAAAGTTTTACTTATCCGTTTTTTAAAAGTGAGTCTGAAATACCACAACTTACAACAATAACAACAAATGATAAGCATAATGCATCATAATGCTCAGTGTTTTAATAGGTAAAAGAGGAAAATGGATGGGCCTCTTTGCTGGTCTGCTAATCAGAAGGATGTGGAAAAATGTTACACAGTGAAGTGGAAACTACTTTCTCCCTCAATCTCATTCAGTCTGTTAGATCTGCTAAAACTGTGGCAAAGAGCCAGACTCGAACCTGGACCGGCTGCTCTAAGCCGTCGCTCACTCGAAACACTGAGCTAAACCAACACCATGCTGAATTTGCATATCCATCCTAGTCTCATCTCTGTGTTTTGATATTTCTTCAGCTTTCCCGGTCATGTCTCCATGTCTGTTTTTCCCCAGTCCTGGTGTCAATTCCACCTGTCTGAGTCTCTGTGTTAGTTCCTCTTTTACTGCAACTTGTACATGCTATGTTGTTATTATTAATAGTAGTTGTTGTAGTAGTATTGGTAATATTGGGGTTTCTTCTTCTTCTTCTTCTTCTTCTTATTCGGATCATGACAGCCGATAGTGTTCACTGTGGACTAACTAAACAGAAGAAAGAAGAAGAGAAATAACAATTTAACATAAACCAGTGACACACTCCAGGGCCTGATCAACCCTGGCAGGGCCTCCTTGGATGAGGGTGTCTAGTGATAATGGCCAAAACACCTGATGAATCCAAGGTCCACTACTGATGATATCTCCCAAATTGAAAATGATAATCTAGATCGATCTCTAATCCCTAAACCTAACCAAGGAAGGTAAATGGCAGATTAGCCTGGGTAAAAGACCGAAAGTTGAGGCACACAACGATGTGTGCTGCACATAGAGAGAGGTATCATTTCAGAAACACCAGGAAGACTGAAGCTCATTGCAGGGACAAAGCAGGACTCATGATCTTCACCAGCAGCTCTTTTTTTGAACATAAAGATAAAGATATTCAGTCCTGTAGAAAGTTAAATATTTAAATATATATTATGCTCTCGTTACTCTGTATGAATGATTCTGTATTACTTTATGATAGATAACACACTATTGGCAAGAAACGGTGAAAGAATTCCGGATCAGACGTTTTTAGTTCAACACACAAGTGACGATTTTTGACCTTCATCAGGTTTTATTCAATTGTGTCAGAGAAAACATCACATCCTCTTCATGCAGCTGACTACATTCAGTGTTTAAAACAGGAGTTGAGCAGGTCTGAGATTAGCACCTTTCTGAAACACCAAACTGAGGTCCTGTTAATGCTGGTATATAGTGACACAGTTACATGGGTGATCAATCCTTTTGACTTTGTCTTTAACTTTATCTATAAGCAGCTGCAGCTTTTACTGAAAGCACATGTGGTACTTTAACCTTTGTACTGTTTTTATCAGTTAATTATGGAGTTACTACAAAGAGTGAAGATATAGGATGATCTTTCTGCTGTCACTGGGTGGTGCTGAGGTCTGAATCTGAGGGCAGCTCCTGTAATCACAAGGAGAACAGAATCATCACAAACTGAAATATAAAGTTTCTCTCTCAAATCTGAAATAAAAAAATTTCCAATATAATGTTTACCTTTTGAGTTGTTGATGCTTTGTAAATGGAGGTATGCAAAGATGAGATGATGGAGCAGGTTTCAGTCCTGGTTCAGTCTGCTGCTGCATCCTGGTCACCAAGCTACCGAGGTATTATCAGCAGTGTGTGAGCTGCTGCTTGGGTATTGAACAAGAAATATTAAGGCTTCAAATTATTTCTCTTAAAGGATGTAAGCTGTACAGAGTACTGCACATGTGACTTTGTGAACATATCTCATTAGCAATAATTCAGACAGTTTTTTAACATGAATTTTTGCAACAAACTCAGTACAAAAATATATACAGAGTCAGTGCTAAAAAATTCATCAGTGGAAAAATTAAACATATATTTGAACTTAAGCTGCCAAGCGGAAGTAGTTGGTTTCAGTACATAAATATTGGGCTTTGCTATTTAATTCGTAGTTACTGATTAATGAGGGGTTACTGAAGTGCCAGGTTTGTTACTATCCTTACAGATGTGGCAAGAGACAGACAACATGCTGTTTGTTAATAATCAGCTCTGCACAGGAGCTGAAGCAGAGTCCAGCCTGTTGCTCTTACAGTAATATACTCATAATAAAAGTACAGCAACAGTAGTTAGTTAGTGACTGAGCAGCCCGGTGCTTTTCTCTTGATTTCTGTGTACATAACTGATTTGTATCACTGCCAGTACATAAACACAAATTCAAACTTTATCCTTGGAGCACAGATGTTTTAAACTGATCTACTTCTATATTTCCGATGCATGAATTCCATCTTAAAACCATATTTATTTTGTCTGTATTGGTTCATTTTGTACAGCAGCCATTTTCATTCTTCGTTAAGATTTGTTTGGGTTTTTTTTTTAATTATTAAAAAAAGATCAGCGTTGTTTCATTATATAACGCGTCTGAGATATATATTTTACAGGGATAAAGGGGAGTAGGGGTGTGCTGCAGGATGAACATGAATAACAGTGCACAAAATAGATGTGATATACATGACAGTTCTTCCCTCGTTGCACTGCAAGGGTGATGAGAATCTATGAACAAATAAAAATTAAATGCAAACTAAATTTTTGTTGTTGTTTTTTAAACATTTTAAATTGTTTTTAGCTTTAACTTTTTTTTAAATTTTGATTTTCAGTACCACTAGTTACATCGGACCTTCCCAAAGTGATTGGGGCCCAGAGCCATGGCAGGGGGGCGCGGTATGAAAAGGAAAAAAACAGAATGCTTGGACACTGCTAGCACGCAGCGCCCACAGAAATGCAAAGCAGGAGATGAAGCATCGCTGAATATGTTTCCAAACCAACTTCATTCTAAGCCAAAGACTAGAAAATATGGTGAAGCATATCTTCCCTTTGGTTTCACCTGCACAAGTGCCGAGGTAGGTCTCCCCTGCAGAATTGGTTTTCCCTTTGTCGGGAGCAGCGCTGGGCTCTCAAATCACGGACAAACAGTATCCCACATTCTTGATTTTTAGTTCACAAACACTTGTTGTAATGACTAACTACTCCTGACATTTTGGAGATGTTAGCTCTTTATACAGTAAAGTTACAGCGGGATACAAATACCTTTGACGTTGTGTCAAACTCTGTATTCCTCATCCACAGCTAAACGCAAAAAAGGGTATATCTGTGATTCGAAACGCCGTTTACGACGAAACAGCTGCGTTTTCAAAAATACCCGTGTAGGTGTGGACGTAGCATAAAAGAGTTAGTAGTTTATTACTACCTGTAATTTATTGCAGATTACTTGTATTTGCTTAATTGTTTACTAAATGTTTGAGGTGTGAAATAAACCGCAATGGAGCAAAATATGGGTGTGTGTGGTTGGAGGATGTGTTTGTGCGTGTGCGTGCGGCGCGCGGGAGGGGGGGGCGCGAACATTTTTCATGTAAAACAAAGGGGGGCCCAGCAAAAAAGAAAAAGTGAGTTACATCATGAGCTTCACATTAAACATTAGGCTACTCAGCAGCATTTACAGTCATTTAAAAAAATTGCTTTATTCCTTGGAAGCCAGAAACACCAGAATTATGACTCACAAATACATCAGCGGTTTATTAAGAAACTCAAACCACAGTTCCTTTTCTGGTCTTCTACTGTTATTTCCCCTACATGGACCCATGCTTTTTCATGTTGTGCCTGAGGAACAAGGCGGGGCTTTATCCATGGGAACTTTATTTGAAAATGCATTCCCAAAGGTTTTGTTTCACTTACAGTAAAAGCCACAGTGAACACTGGAAATTGAGGTGATCACTTGTGAACTGCGTTAAGCCACCGACATGGCGCTGACTAAATTAATGAGTGCGATCCTCACCAGAGCGCTGTTTATTTTAGTTGCTGTCATCGGAGTGTTGAGGGTGGCATCGGTTAAGAAGGATAACAATTACTTGTTTCTGGCTTTTCTTTTGTTGCCGCTTGTTGTTGAAATGATAGTAACACTGAAGATGCGAAAAGGACAGGATTATAAATGGTAAGATAAAGGAACATGCATGCAAGTGATGGTAAAAAAAAAAAAGGTGCTCTAATATTGTAATTATATTATCCTTAAGTATTCATTAGGCTACTTAATGCCTGAAGCTACTCATATTACTTTCAAACTCATCTCCGCTCTATCGTTTGCACTTTCCCCCTCTAATAGACAGTATAACAGTATAATGCATGATTAAATTATGCATTTTCATCTTTTCCTAGTCTTTATCTCGACCCCGGTGTACCTTACATGCATATTTAAGTAGTTTGTACCTTTGCTGCTACTATATTGATAAGCTGGGAAGCTAATAGTTAAACTGTCCCGAATGGTGGTACGATACCCCTTGACTTTTATTACTTCAAGTTAATCTCTTCAGTCTTCCTGCATGCTTGAAGTAAACATGCTTATCACTTTTCTTTTTTTTAAACATTTTTGAATGCCTTTGGTTGTCTTGTAGGTTTTCCCCTCCTATCTTTCTGTTCCTCATTACTATTATTCCCTCGATCTGGATTCTGGAGATACAACACCAGCAAGACAAAGCCAGCGATCTAGAGGTACCCCATGTACATTTATTGACCAATTCTAACAAATGTCACATCTGCTATTAATGTTAAGGCTTATAAGATTTAATTACAATAAAACAATAAATACCCCGTGAAATTCACTCACAAAAGCTTCTTTAAACTGTTTTCAGTGCAATAAACTAGATTCTATAGAAACTTTGCAAAGACTGTGGAATCGAAGCACCGAGCAGGGAAACACCACAAACCAGAATTTACTTAAGGTAAGAGTGACTGAATTGTTAAGTTATGGTTCTGTGACAGAAATAAAGAGAGAAAAAAGAAAGAAACTGTGAATGAATGAAATGAGAAAGATCACTGTGCCATGTGAAGTGCTACAAGAATGAGCTCAAATGGGACAAGCAATGAGCAAATACAGACTTGCCAGGAATTTATTTCGTTATCCATGTCTAATCAGAGAGAACCAGTTTTTCCACTTTTTCTACCAATGTTTTGAGTGAAACTCTCTGTATTCAGCCAGGAAGTGACATATAATAATAATAATAATAGTAATGGTAATGGATTGCATTTATATAGCGCTTTTCGGGCCCTCAAAGCACTTTACAATTCCACTATTCATTCACTCTCACATTCACACACTGGTGGAGGCGAGCTACAGTTGTAGCCACAGCTGCCCTGGGGCAGGCTGACATAACCTACTACAGAAATAACATCCGGTGGCGTTGTTCCTCTTCTGGTCTTTCGCTAAGAAGGCTGAACTACCACTGTAAAGGTTGTTATTTCTTTATGCTAAGACACTTAACAGCTTATTGACTGTTTCATAATGACTTCTCTTTAAGAAAGCCAGAAAGAGCAGCAGAAAAGGTTTAAGCAACTCAAGTAAAATAAAATGATTAATGATGATTTCATCATTTAGTTCTTGGAAACTGTTTAAGCAGCAGTGTGGACTGAACGCATAGTGAAACTATTTATGCTCTGATTTTTTCATTTTTCATTCATGCATTAAGATTGACTGGAAATTAATAAAATAATCCAATTGATCCACTCCACCTGTAGGAACAATGCATTTTTGTCACACTTAAAAAAAAAAAAAACGAATTTATTTCAGCTACCAATCCAAAATGCGGCATCCAAATTCCAGTTCACTTAGTAATCCTAATAAGAAAAGTAGAAAACAGTAAAGCATAAAGTGGACAGTCTCTCTTACTTTCATCATTTCAAATATCATCAGATTGATGACAAAGATCAGATCAGAATCAGAATCAGAATCAGAATCGTGTTTATTGGCCAAGTATATGTGCAGACACATACAGGGAATTTGGTTCCGGTAGATGGTGGCTCTCAAGCACAGCAATGTAAAACACACACACACACACACACACACACACACACACACACACACACACACACACACACACACACACACACACACAACCACGTGTCTATATATACACATTACACATACATACACAAAGCTGTGTAAACCAACTATAAATAACGAATCTAAACTTATATACATAAAATACAGAAATGAATGAGGTGGAATGAATACTACAAAATGTACATAAGGTGCAGTTGCAGTCTGGCAGTGGGTGACAGGTCAACTGTTAAGAAGGGAGATGGCGAGGGGAAAGAAACTGTTCCTGTGTCGGGTGGTCCTGGTCTGCAGGCTTCTGTACCGTCTGCCAGAGGGCAGCAGATCAAAAAGTCTGTGTCCAGGGTGTGAGGGGTCTGTGATGATTTTCCCTGCCCGTTTCCTGGTTCTTGAGAGGTACAGATCCTGGATGGAGGGCAGGGGGGTGCCGATGATCCTTTCTGCTGCCCGTACAGTCCGCTGCAGTCTGCTCCTGTCCTGTTTAGTGGCTGCTCCATACCAGACTGTGATGGAGGAGCACAGGACAGACTCAATGACCGCAGTGTAGAACTGGATCAGCAGCTCCTGTGGAAGACTGTACTTCCCCAGTTGTCTCAGGAAGTACATCCTCTGCTGGGTCTTTTTGAGGATGGAGTTGATGTTGGTCTCCCACTTCAGGTCCTGGGAGATGGTTGTACCCAGGAACTTGAAGGTCTTCACAGTTGACACAGGGCTGTCTGATATGGTGAGGGGGAGCAGAGTTGAGGGATGTCTCCTGAAGTCCACTGTCATCTCTACAGTCTTAAGAGTGTTCAGCTCCAGATTGTGCTGACTGCACCAGAGTACCAGCCGCTCAACTTCCTGCCGGTATGCAGACTCATCACCATCTTGAATGAGGCCAATGACAGTGGTGTCATCTGCAAACTTTAGGAGTTTGACAGCCGAGTTCAAGATGCAGCATTAAGAGCTAGATAATTCACAAAGTGCCCACTAATTGGAGAAATAGGAATCATTTTTAGAAAATAAGAGCCTGGGTCTCAATATTGACGAAGAGTTTTAAAAATGTTTAGCGCAGGTTCCAAGAAAATAGACTTTTTTACTTATTTAATAAGTTTCTCCACTATTCTGTTATTTATTTTGAAAATAATAATTTAAAAAATTGTACAAAGGAACTCAGGTTCTCTTATTTACAGCAGGGTCTTATGACATATTACCTGTACTGTGACTCAGGTTACTTATACTCAATGCTTCTGTAGAACTGCTTTTAATTGTATGTGTGGGAAACTATCATAAACTATCATGTGGCTCACTGTTGTTTACTGAAAGGACAGAGATGAGATTAAATCCCAAATGGCTTTTTGAGTGAAGTGATTCAACCTTCTCAGAAAACCAAGTTTTCAACATTAAACATCTTGCCATCTTTTTTCCTTTTCTTAAATACTGAGCAGAGGTTGTCCACTGTCTGCGCGAATGACTGGATCCTGGCTCTTCACCAGATCGTGCTCATCCTCCTCATTGTGGGGAAGTGGCTTCTGCCTTTGGGAGGCGGGGTCACAAAAGATGAGTTGTCTCAGCTTCTTCTAACTTTTGTTGGCACTGCAGCGGACATCCTGGAATTTACTAGTGAGACGCTGTCAGATATAAAGTAAGGGGCTAATCGTGTTGCTTGTACGTTAAGAATGTGCTTCTCCTATCGAGACATAAGTCTGCATTTAATGTATGCAAATGCATATATAGTTCCTGATATTGGTGTCACTTTTCTTACAGAGAAAAAAATCCTGCCATGGTTTACGTCATCTTAGCTGTATGGACCTGGAGCATGTTGCAGTTTCCACTACATCTAGCAGGTCAGGTACCTTAAAATACTTGGTGTTTATTAAGGAGCTACAGCAGTGTAAGGAAGTTCCTTTCCTGTTCCCCGGTCATGAAAAAGACAAACAGTCTTAACAGTGTGTTTAGAAATTGGCTAAAAATCCAAGCCAGTCCAGTAAGTAAACAGTTAAGTACATAAGTGCAGCAAGTAAGTTGAAATTACAGCCCCCGGTGCTTTTAAATGACTAACTCAAACATTTTTACTTCCCGAGACTTAAATTAAAGGAATTAGGTAGCAGGTTGTAAGTTTTCAGCTGCTTTGGTGTGGTTCCTCCTAGCTCATGCCCCATGTGGCGAGAGTATGTAGGCAGCTGCTGTAGGATCAAGGATTGATATCACTGACTTGTCCCCACTCTCACATAAACTAAATCCAATACAACATCTCTGGGACTTTATTTTTTTGCCCATCTGATGCTACCAAGTTGCACCTCCGACTGTCTAGGAGCGCAGTAACGCCGTGGTCTCTTTAGGAGCATGTCCCAATGTTGTCAGGCATCCACAGAAGCACGTGGGGGGCCATACAAACTACTCCCTCACATTTTTAGTTGCTGCAATATAATTTCAGCAAAATAGACAAGCCTCCTCACAACATTTTTTCACTTTGATTTCTGGGGTGTCTTTGAATTCAGCCCTCTGTAGGTTTCCATTTCCATCAAACAATGTGGCATCTTTTCATTCCCATCACATTACTCAGTATATATCAGTGTAGATATCAGCATTGATCTGATGTGTTTTCAAAGTGTTACAGGAAATATTCAACCTTAGTTTTTGTGATCTCGAGTCTTTATTTACTATTTGTTAATAGGTAAATGGTTATTCTAATGATAAGTATCTAACTTTAAGGATATCTTGTGCTCTGGTTTGTTATTAATAAATATTATTAGCTCCCCAGGTTTCTGCTCACTGGGAACCTTCTTCCTGGTCATAGCTAAAATACTTTTGACCTGGGTGGCTAAAAAACTTGTTAAGACTATTTCTGAATTAATGTCACCTTTATCTAAGGTTTCCTCCTGTATCATCCTCACTAAAACTTCTAACCTTTGGTTAATCCATCCACTTGTGTCCTGCATTCAGGTTCTAAATTAAACGGAGACCTGTTATATTCAGACCATATAGCTTGGTAAATTTCACACTTAAACAAAAAGCGAGATAAGCTGTTTTAAAAACAAACAAATAAATGTGACATCTGTCAAACTACATGCAGCTACCTGAAGGAAAGCTTCATTTTTACTGTCAATCATTTGTTTTTCCTCTTCTTATTCAACATAGTGGTGAACACCAAATTTGATGAAGAGAATGGCGGAGAAGATCAAGTTGTCCGGGAAACCTTCTTTATTAAACACAGCACTGATATTTGGAGTATCATAGAGACCCTCTTTATCCAGGATGGGCCTTTTCTGTTGGTCAGGCTGACTGTCATTATTCACTTCAGAGTCCTCCACCAGATGCTTGGTTTCTTTGCCATCAAGAACGGCCTAGTGATCACACTGAGCTTGTACAGGTTGGCCATTATATTGCTGGACTACAGACATTCCATGGGCAACAATGCAGAGGCAGTGCCGATGCATGAGTCAGATGACAGACGTTCCAGCCACAGCAGCACTGAGGCAATAGCGATCCATGAGTTAGATGAGCTATGCGACAGACCTTCCAGCCACAACAGTGCAGAAGCAGTGTCGACCCATGAGTTGGATGACAGACGTTCCAGCCACAACAGTGAAGAGGCAGTGCTGACCGATGAGTTAGCTCTGGTAGATAAAGAGGAATCTTAGAGTGAGATGTATTACGCTAAACATTTAAAACCTTTTAAATTCAAATGGCAAAAACTATCACTGAAGCAGGAAAAGAAGGAAACACAACACAATGGTTTGACGCAGCTACAAAGTCAGAGTGACTAAAGTCAGACTGTCAGATAAGAAGTTAGTCGACTTCTAACAGTGTGATAACTGATGTCTGGCTGACAGGAATTGAGGGCAACAAACGAGGGTGAAAGCGAGATGATGAGATATTTTTGCATGTTGTGTGAGATCGAGAGGAAGATAATAACAGACAGAAATTTTCCTGTTTTAACCCAAACAGGAAATTGAAAGTTGCTCTTTACAAAATAAGGAATATGCTGTTTACAAATCAAAAAGTATTGTTACCTCAGTAGTTACATTAAATCAATGTGATATCTGTGGCTAAAACAGGTGGATCATTGTCCATTTGTACATTTTTTTTTAAAACTAAAGATAGAATTGCACTCAGGTGATGAGCTGTGTATGAGTTGCTTTTAAAGCCTTTAAAACCATTTTTATGGCTTTGAAATCACACAAAGTTTTTATACCTGATTTATGTGAGGATCTTCATTTAGCTGGTAAAGGAACAAAAATATATGTCATGTTTGTTGTAAATGACTATAACTCATGATATCCTGTCAAAGCTGCTCTGACCTGAATACATTTCAGTAAATGTGGCTCATTTTACTTTTTTGCTATTTCATTTATCACAAAACCAGAAACAGTGGGTTCAAAATGATTATTTTTTAGTTTTTCTGGGTGATTTGTAGCATTGCCAATATATACAAACACAAATTCAAACTTTATGAGCACAAATGCGCTACATCTACTTCTGTTGAAAATATTCATCTGAAAACTGTGTTTATTTTGTCTACATTTCTTCATTTTCTACAGTAAATCTAACCTGCAAACTGTCTACCGTCTCCCCTCTGTGGACATCAGTGTATTATCACTTTGATGATGCCATCTGTGACAGTTTTTTGTTTGAGATGTTGCATCAGAATCAGTCTTATCTGAGTTTAGAACATTTCAGCTCCCTATGAAATCACTGTGGCTGCTGTCAAACTGTCACAAGAGTTGATTTTTGTATTCACCATCTATATGCCAGCCAGTTTTCAGAGATGTCAGGAAATTTAAAGTTGACATTCGCACCTGCGTCATGGCCCCACAGTGTGGTTTCCTGTTTTATTGTGAAGGTCTGTGTCTTATGTTAGTGTGTCCAGCTTCTGACAAAACAAGAGTAAAACAGTTTCTCGACTAACTCCAGCTCCAGCAAATAGTCTTTTCCTTTTCCTCTCTATGATGATTAAACTGGATAAAACTGAACAATGTTTGGAACCATAAATCTGTCATGACAATAAATACTCAGGTGTTCAAAAGGCTCAAGGAATGTGTGAAATCCTTCAAAACAGTTTATCACACCAGATTGAGTCATTTTCACCCTTCCTTAATATTTGGAAATGCTCTAAGGCAAATGAGGAAGAACGGCTGTCCAAAATCCGGTCAAATTGTAAACAAGCATTGTTTCATTATATAAATCATCTCAGATATTTATTTTACAGGGACTTTTTTTTTACAGGAGGAAGGGGAGAAGAGGTGTGCTGCAATATGAAGATGCATAAAAGTGCAGCAACATATATGCCAGTTCTTCTTTAGTTACACTGCAAGGAAGAACATTTCATTGTTAGTGTGATAAAAATCTGTGACCAAATGAAATCACATATAGTGTATTACCAAAAAAATTAAAATGTAGGACAACAATGATACACACTTCTAGTGTTCACCGTCATTCTTTTAAACAGTGTTATATTAACCTTTATTTTGGTGGCAATTATTTAGACCTGTTCATTGACAAAGACTTCATATTGGCACGTGCTGCATGTATGATCTGTTGCGGAAAACATATGTTAGAGCTGAGAACTTCAAACAAGGTTATGAGAAATGTGCCAAAGTCAATGAGACTAAAACAACTTTGTGAACTTCAAACACTCCCCAGTTCTCTGAAACTCTGATGGAGAGATGGAGCCTAATCAACATGATTGATTGACAGGATTTTCACAGAAATCTAACCATTGAGTGTTTCCTGACTCACTACTGTAAGAAGAAATGAATTATTTATATATAGAAACAAACTCCAAAAAGTTGATGTTGTTTATCTGGACATCTGTGTTTTCAGTGGGAGTGACGAAATGTTTATTTAAATTATTATTTAATAATAACGAAATATAATATAATCATTAAATAATAATTCTGAATAATTCCACTTGAAGTTAAAACACAAACAAAGTGGAAAAACCATCAAGTTTTCTTGGCAGTTAAGGTGAGCTTGGCTTCCCTCTTGTGGCATTTTAGATGTATTACATCATCTTGCTCCTCTTCTGCTTTACAGCATTTTTCTCTTTACTGCCTCTTTAATTGTAACAGAAAAAGTTAACTAAACGAAATCATTTCTGGAGATCAGGACTCCCGTTAAACTGAACTAGTAAAGATTTGCAAGCTTCTTATTTTGTAAAATTAAATTAAACCTGGTTGGCTGCTGCATTTTACGCCCACTTTCACTCCACTAATCCATTTCATTCACTGCCACTCTCTTTGTTGAAAGGTGAAAAAGACATTTATCAGGCAAATGTCATTCTCTTTGGCTGCTTGTCTCTGCCTACACTGCTTAACACTCGCTGAATGTCGGGTACGTTTCATTACCCTTGATCCAATCCAAAATCTCAAAAGGTAGGCGATTTGTGCAAATTATTTTCAAAAGGCTAGCATATATATATATATATATATATATATATATATA